ACAGTAATAATGAAACAAACTTTAAAATTAAAAAATAATCCATTTTTTCAAAATAAGTGTTTTCTACTTCTACTCATGGAAACTTCAACAAAATGTCTAACTGTCACAAAATATGTAATTACCAAAACTACTCACAAACGTCAAATTTATTTCCAAAGCATTCTTGTGAAAAATGCAAAATATTCGTAATAACTTCAACATGCATCGATTATCAAATAATCGACTTGAAGTTTTCAAGTCCAAATATTTAGAAAACGGTTGCTTACAGCGACTAGTAACAAGGGTAGCTTATTTACGTAGATATGATAGAGGAATCGATTTTTTTACTGAAAAATGTGCTAGAAGTACGCCCAAAAAACTGATGAATCTTTAAAAAAGATAAAGACGTGTAGGTGGCGCCCCCTACTAGTAAGAGCAATAATAACATCAGGTTCGAATTCGACACCTCAAAAACCTCCTATTACCAAGTTTCGTTTAAGTAAGTTCAGTATTTCAAAAGATATTTGAAAAAAACGAAAATAAAAATAAAACTTCAACATCCAGTATCTTGGAAACGAAGCGTTTCCAGACATTTATTTATTTGAACAATTCATATTAGAATATTGTGAGGAATCACCTCCTGAAGTTTGTCAAAGTACTTTTGAATCACCCTGTACATAAATATTAAACAAATATATCAGTTATCAAACAGAATTACAAAAAAAACTGAAATATATAAGACCATATATAATGGAATGAATTGGGTAAAACATAGCAGTAGTAGATGATGAAGAGATTAATAGAGAGAAGAATGATGAACAACTCAAATGGAATAGTATTGTGCCCGTAGATATTCAGATAAGGAGCGTTTGAAGAATTGAAGGGTTACTTTGTTTAATTTCATTAGGAAGTTTGTTATAGTCCAAGAATCCTCTGTGAAAAATAGAATTCATTGTTCTTGCAAGGTTAGTTCGTGGGACAACCAAGTGTAGTGATTCAGTTTTACCGCCAACTGGTTGTTAGTGAAGTGTCGATGGAGGGGTGCGCGGAGTTAAGAGACGAATTGTTTTAGACAGTCAGTCTGGCATGGTCAGCCGACAAGGCAGTGTGTTTATTGAATGTGAATTTGACGATAGCGATATTAATGTTGTATCGCAGCTAACACTTGTATATATTTTAATGTATGTTCTGATTGATAAATAAATCAATAGTGGTTACACGTCTATATCAAACTCATCGAACCCAGAGTCTCATCGCATAAATTGGCACCCAACAGCGGCAAAGTATAGCGTGTCACACGATAGATAAATTGAAATAATATACACAAGTGGCGGCGATCTTACGAATTCGGCGAACTGAAACAGAGAGCGGAGAGGGGAGAGCAGAGGATTTCGAGGAAGCACTGACGCAGTACCGAGAAACAAATAGGACGTGGAGACCGGTGAGATTGTTCAATGTTATCTGCGTATGTATAAACTTATTTGAAGATTTCATGAACTATTGAAATAAATATTTGAACTTTTTCTATTTATGTGCATGGGGATATATAAATATTGTTAGTACTTAGTTAAGAAAAAACGGCGGGCACATTATTGTTGTAAAATGCCCAAAGGAAAAAAGAATACTGGAAGTAGGGCGGAAATAAGTAAAAACAATTTGAGTTGTTCAGACATGGACGGGACCGATTTATTTGAGACGGGGCAGTCCGATGAAAATATTGNTTATGCTTATATTAGTGATACCAATTATTTTAATGAGATCGTTTGAAATACGTAGGTTGTATCAAAATTATCGTTTGGTACATACATACTACTATACTACTGAAATATACTTTCATAGTAGGAGGTATAATAACTGGGAATCAAACCAGCATTAGTGAGGCTCCTTATGTCAGTTTTCTTTCTTTCGGATATTTCCAATTTACGCTGATAAAGCGGTTTGAGTTTTGTATGACGATTATTTCTATTCGTTCTTTTACTCAAATCAAGCTCTTCAAAATCATGAAAGTACGATGTCTTGTACTGTATTTTAATCTCATTATGTTAATTTTTTTCAATTTTGATAACTTTTATGTCTGACAACTTTACAATTTGGCCATATACATCTTTATTTAGTCTAGGAACTTGTTGTTTTATATCTATAAAATCACCGGAACCCACTTCATTTACAATGAAGGTGTTCCATGTTTTTTGGCGCCTCGAATAGCAGAATATATTGCGAAGGCACGTATATGGCCCCAGAACTAAGACATCGTTTAACTTGTTTCTCTATTACAGAATGTACAGCATCTCCCTCATTCTGAGTATGATCGCGTATCAGGAACTTATGTGTTATAGACTTAATTTTTAAGTATATGTCCAGATATTCGTCGGCACAAGAATATTTTCTTGCAAATATTTTAATACACAAGTACATATTTCTTTAGCTCCTCGGTGTCTTTAAGATTAATTCCAGAAGAAGCATTCAGTTTTGTCAAGTTTAAGCTTAGAGATGGTAAAGTTCAAACAATTTATTTTAGACTTATAATAAAACGTAGTAATCTCTAGTTGTTGGCAAACTGTTTGAATTGGATGTTGAGGCCTCAGGATCTGAAGATGCTTTAACAAAATGAAACATTTTCATCCTCTTGACTTTATAGTATTACTGGCACTAAGAGGAATATGACACTTAAACAGTGATTTAAAACATCTATATTTTAAAATTGTTTAAAAATGGACACTGAAAAGAAAATGCCTGTTTCTATTCACAAAAAAATGGCGATTTGAAATAAATATAACCAAAAAATGGCACTATGGTTATAATGCCATTCATGTTTTTATCAAATCATAAAATTATGACAGACAATAACGTTAAAAAAGGCACTAAACAAAAAATTACATTTTTAAATTCATCAAAAATAATATTTTAGTGTACAATTAAATAAATAAGCAACACTATACATAAAATGTTATTTTTCCGCCTACCTCTATCCAAAGTATACATTTCCTGGCCTCATTGTAGGAAGGAAAGTCGTACTTTTCCTCACTAGGGAGGAAAAGTAAAAGTGACGTCATGGTACATAATCAATGAAATAATTTATACGGCATTGACAACCTAAACTATATTCTATTATATAAAAAAGTTAAATATTATAATAGAGCTAAAGCTTTATGCTATGTTTATGATTCCGCAAAAGTAGTTAATTAGGCCCAATAGCGCAGTGAGTTGGTGCACCGTTCATTATTCATGACGGCCTTGTAGTTTTTGGTTCGAATTCCAGCGTCGACAGTTTTTTTTTTCTTTTTTTTAAATTATTTTTGTTTGTTTCGTAGGTTCTCCTCATTTTCGGGATTTCAGGAGCATGCAGGTGTGACGAGCTCCTTAAAATGGCCACTACAGATATTGAAGATAAAGGTTCAATATTAATAGTAAATATACCAAATTCTAAAACAAATATTCAGAGAACGTTTGTAATCAATGCTTCACTGGGGAATGGCCCTAATTATATTGATATTTATAGAAAATATGTATCGTTACGCCCTAAAATAGATCAGACACGTTTATTTGTCTGCTATAGAGTAGGAAAATGTATCAACCAAATGGTTGGGAAAAATACTATAGCTAAAATTCCTACAAAAATTGCAGAATTTTTAAAACTGCCTAATGCCATAAATTATACCGGGCATAGTTTCAGAAGAACCTCGGCAAGTTTACTTGCAAATTCTGGAGGGACATTCTTACTTTAAAGCAACATGGAGGTTGGAAGTCTACAAATATCGCTGAAGGATATGTGCAGCAATCTCTTGCAAAAAAGCAAAAAATTTCGAACCTAATTATGGGAGTCACTAAAGTTAATGAAACTGATTGTAATCAGCCAAGTACGAGTATTTCCGAGGGATACCAGCTGTATAATAATATAGTTAGTGAAAATATCACGAAAACTGCGTTGGATCCAGCTCTCAGTTTTAGTGGTATTGAAATAACCACTGCTCAAAACTGCACGTTTAACATCACTATAAATAATTACTCTAGCAGAAATTAAAAATATGTAGGATGCAGGTATGAAAATACCGTCCCTATGAGTTATACTGTACCTACTTCTCAGTGTTAGTTCTTTAATAAATTTTGTTTGTAAGTTTCATAAATAAATTATTTTTTGGTAGTTTCATAAATAAATTATTTAAAAATTTGAGGGAGGCGGAAAAATCATATGTATAACATGGGGGTAAAGTGAATTTTCCTTCCTTGAATGATTACTGCCCTCCGCTACGCGTCGGGCAGTAAACTTCATTCTCGGGAGGAAAAGTAACACTTTCCTCCCTTGTTATACAAATAGCTATTTTTGTTCATCAGAAAATTTCTTTCAGTATTACTTTAACTAAATAAGCGACACTATACTTAAAATGCCATTTTTTGTAGTTTCAGCAAAAATATCAGTTTGAATTGCACTTAAAACAACACTATACATAAAATGCCACTTTTTTACTCGAGGCAGCGTGTAGCCACTCCGAATGCTTGTCTTCAACTGGATAGTATCACCTTACGAATGACTTCTTCGTCATTTACGCAAAAGTTCAAACTGACACTGGCGGCCTCTAGGGAAAAGAATTCAAACTAAGATAAAATGTCGTTTATGCAATAAAAGCGCTTTCTTTCAAGGAATCTAAATGTTGTAACTCAATATTGCTCATTTCAGTATAATGCCACTTTTGTTTTCAAGGTGCGATATATCTATAGTTTCTAACGCTCGTTTGAAAGCCAAAAATACTGCTACTACATATTTATTGTCATCAATTGACAGTCTCCATTTAGATAAGGTGAGTTGAAGAGCAGTTTCACATGAGTGTTGCGATCTAAAACATGATTGATACTCCGTCAAAAGGTTGTTGTCTTCGATATATGTGCATTTTTGGTTATAAGCAGCTAACTCTATCTCTACACAAAGTAGAACATTTCGAGGCAACTACAGAATATTATCTTGAGTTACCTATTTCCCTTGCCACCAGAAAATATGTTGGTTACACATCAAAAGTAAAACTTACTTCTCCATGCTCAAATTCTCCGATTCGAACTTCAGCACCCTGGAACAATAAGAATGAACCGTGTACTGGAATGTTCCGCATTCGATCCACAGCATAATTTGATCCGGGCTGATTTCCAAAGCCTTCTGGAAGCAAATCGATGCATACTTCGCCTTGTCCAAGAATTCTGTCTCGCTCTTGAACTTCTCGCAATGATTCAATTTTGTATCCAGCTGCGAAGCATAGCTCAGCCCGAGACATCCCCAAGAATCGAGACGCAAAGGGTTGATGCACAGATCTAGTTGAAAGTATTTGATGCACTTGATGAACTCCCTTTGCTTGAAGTAGAAGTCGCCGATGAGGTAATAGATAGAGCGAACTTTATTCGGAAAATCTATAGCTTCGGGAAATTTGTCGGTTTTTCCGTGGACGAAATCCATTATTTTGGGCAAGTGCTGTGCCGGAGCGCAATGGGGCGGAACTAGGGCGATGATTCGCTTGAATAGTTGTTCCAAATCCGCAGAAATTGACGCGCTTTTGTAGGAATTGAACTCTGGCAAGCAGTCGGGCCCATAGAACTCGAATAGTTGGAAAGATCGTTCCCAGGAAAGCGGAAGAGGATCCACGTTGTGGTCTGCTAAATGCCTGGAAATCTTCAAGAGTTCAATTAGTAAAGCTGTGTTGTATATAACAAGTGTTGAGGCAATGAAAGACTACATATGCTTCTCAATAAAATACATGATAAAACACATACTTTTATATTGCATCCTCTTCTTTTAAAAGTAAAACAGAAAGACAAAACGGTTGAAGATTGGAAAGAACAAAATTCGGACTAGTAAGCCGTGGTCGAATGGAATCTGCAGTACCAAACATTTTGTCTACTAATGCGGCAGACATCATCAGTGGAATGTGCGTTTACTGCCAGGATGACAGTTATTAAAATCAAAATTTATTTGCCAGAAATTTAGAGACAGACACAAAAAAAGAAACCATATATTTGTGATGTGATGAGAAATTCCACTAAAGAATATTATATCAGCTGCTACGGAAGGCGCTCCGGCTATGACAGGACGTCACAAAGGCTTCATAGCGTACTTAAAAAATAAAAATTCCAGATGTACTCACTGTACATTGCGTCATTCATAGGCAACATTTGGTTGCGAAAAATTTGAGTGAGCGCCTCTCTCAATCACTGCAATATATCATCAAAGCAGTCAATAAAATCCGAAACAGCTCTTTAAATGACAGATTATTTAATCAGCTTTGTGTTGCTAATAATGAAGATTTCAACCGATTGCTATTTCACATAAAGGTGCGTTGGTTATCAAGAGGTAACTGTCTGACTCGATTTTACAATCTATTTGACTCTGTAATAGAGTTCTTGGAAAACAAAGATAAAGAATTGCACGACAACCTCATCAATTCAAAGAATGATATTGCGTACTTGACAGACCTGTATGAATTATTTAATGAAGTCAATCCTCAACTTCAAGGTGACGACTTGAATTTGGTTAAAACAAATAAGTACTTGCTACTATCGTAACCAAATTGCTCTTATACAAGAATAATATCGGCAGACGTGAGTTTCGCAATTTCCCTAATTTGTCAGCAGTATCCTTCAACAACGACGACTTGCTTGTTCACTGCCAACATTTCGAGAACCTCCACAGTGATTTCGCAGAACAATTCCAGGACATTTTAAAATTGGAAATACCGAACTGGGTGTTGTATCCTATTTCAAATGTCAACACAGCAGGATCGCCCCAGCTGGAAGAACTCATAGAACTGATAACGAACGAGGAAATAAAAATAAAATTCAAAAGTGAATACCGAGAATTTTGGTTACAAGAGCCAATCAGGCAATTGTACCCTGGATTGTGGTCCATCGTTCAACGATTTTTGATAGCATTCCCATCATCGTATTAGTGTGAACGTGGCAACTTTGCTAACTAAAAAGAGATATCGGTTGCAGATTACCGAACGCGGTGACTTACGGCTGTTTTCGAGTAAATTCGAGCCTGATAAATCATTAAATTCATCCTTCACATTAATTGAATTTTAAAATTCAAATTGAAATGTTTGTTTTGATAACATGAATAAAAGTTTTCCTAATATTACAAAATGATGTTTTACATTACCCTCATCAGAAAGTCTTACTTTCACATGACACACATATTTTAATTATTAAAATAATGACTGCAATTGTGATTCTTAAGATATAGAAAAAAAATTATGTGGGGCGCTAGAAAATAATTAATTCTTGAAGTGTGCGGTAGGCAAAATAAGTTTGAGAACATCTGCTCTAGCTGAAGGCCAGAGTAGCATATTAACTTCTACTTTTGACAAGCGCGCGCTCACGCCTCCGCTGAAAGGAGGCGGTGGGGAACGCCCCCGCAATGTTAGCGGGTTGACGGTCACCTAGAAACGTGACTTTGTTAGACCGACTGGATCGTGTGTCTCCTGCCGCCAAGGTTTATGCACACCATTACATGTATACAATATGCAGGTCGCTCAAATGATAACATAGCTGTCGTTGTATCTCGAAGTTTCATCAACGAACGACTGGCGAGCTACGTGATCGCTCGTATTTATACTTTAAGAGGGTAGTGGGGTGATGGTGGAGCTCGAGCAGCGAGGCCAGTAGTGGGGACGGCGGTGGGAGCGATAGTAGGGTGTCTGCGCAAATACTCATTCCTGATTTGTTCGAGCTTTAGCTGGGTCGTTATGATTGGTCCAAACGCATCAACATTAGGATACAAGAACACAAGCGTAAATGCGCCTCATGCAACTGAAGAAATCCGCAATTGCAGAAAATGTCCTAGTAGAAACATACCTCGTGATAAAATATGTTGACCCGGTATACGGGACAACATAACATGGTATCCAGTGTTCAAGAAGGCAAGAAATGTACTAGATTACATCTGAGATTGGCTGCAGCATACCTGTCAACAAGGTAGAGCAATCAGAGCAGCCTAGTAATAGTGAGGACCAATCACAACGATTCAGTAAAAGTGCGGACCAATCATAAGCGAGTATTCACGTGGACACTCACGTGGACCTCCTGGATAATTTCTGACAATCCCGGACGTTATACATACCACCCGCGATGATATATCGATAGCATACACCACCTCGACAGAGCTGAAGGTAAGGGACGTATGTGGTAGGGCATCTCCACAAGGCAGCGGAAATAGTGAGTCTAGTCAGACTGCACACCCAAGCCACCGCAAGCTAGCAGCAGACGAACGAGCTGGAGCCACCCGACCCACCCCGGGGAACGCCGACTGGATTCATAGGAAGAGAAGGTAACCAAACCAACTGCAGTCTGTGCCAACACTGCCGGCCGACCGAGTGGTTCTTACGTTTCCGATCCCTTGTGACATTCACAACTTGGATCATCTGCTCGAAATTTCTCTCCGCGGCTCTCACGTTTTCCGATCCTTTGTTGTATTCACCACTTGGACCATCTATCCGAAGCTACTTTCCACGTTTCTGACCCTTTGTGGTATTTGCCACGTGGGCTATTGTTCGTGCCATCTTGGCTTAAACAGGTTGGAGCCTGGCTCTCTTACCCTTTCGACTGATGTTGGTCAGAGAGACAAACGAGCCAAGATTGATTTATGGGATGGCGGCATTAATGTCCTCAGACCTCAGTACCCCTTTACGTGGAGTCCTACCTGGCTGGGGTGTTTGGATGAAGATATTGTTCATCTTTTAATGGGGGACATGAGGACCTCACTCGACAGAGTATCTGGGCCTTCTATATCGGGAGGGGTCGTCTAGAGCATAATCCATAGCTTCCCTAACTAACGGATTATCCTGGGTTTCTGCGCAATCAAAGACTTGCCGATTCCTCGACTGAATGGACTGCTTAATGGAAGGCACCTGCAAATCTCTGCGGATGGCTCAATGACATGCTCGAACATCGTTTTATAGATCATAATCTTGTTCTTTAGGGTTAATTTAGAACGTCTGTTGATCAGAGGGTACAGACTTTGCCTTCAAGGTTGTGATGTACGGGTTCCAAGTGAGCCTGCGGACTATTATAAGGCCGAGGTACTTTACCCGCTCTTGCCAGTTGATCTCCCTTCCAGAGATCCTCACTTTTCTGGCCGGAGACGATTTCAGTCTTCCCATGGTTATCGCCTGAGTTTTGTCCGGGCTCACTCGGATCTTCCATTCGAGATACCAGCGCTCGAGGTCGTCCAATGCACGTTGCATGTAGACGACACCGAGCTCCCGACCCATGGAAGATGAGATGAGAGCCGTCTCATCGGCGTACAGAGATATCTTCAAACGATCAGACCTCGGAAGGTCACTGGTGTAAAGTGAGTACAGCGCAGGGGAGAGCACGGCTCCCTGTGGCACTCCAGCGAGGATCTCTCTGTTGTCAGACAGAGAGTCCTCTACTCTAACCTGAAATGTTCTGTCTTTCAGGAAAGACCCAATCCACCGGATCAGGCCCCGAGGCAGGTCGAACGCAATTAGTTTATGCAGAAGGCCTTCGTGCCATACATGGTCGAAGGCCTTCGAGATGTCTAATAAAACGACATGGACTTTTTTGCTTTGGTTCAGTTCCGTGATGGTGTTTTCGACCAGTCTCAGAGCCTGTAACTTAGTGGAACTTGGGCTATTCCTTTCTCGTGTCTGGTACGTTTGTCAGCTATCGTCGAATCTCTCTAAACTTCGACGTCATCCGTAAGTCATATATTTATACGTGGTCAAAGAATATAGCTCAAGAATGTGAAGGATAGGCATTTATTTTGAGGTGAATTGCACAGAGCTAATTTATAATGATATATACTTACTTTATTCTTTTTGCTTGGGTGTTGATACAAACAGAACATTGCCTGCTCTATGTGAATATCGATTTTGTTTCGGAGACGTTCGAATATAGGAGTATCGATTCTATCGAGAACGGTATCTAGAATGAAGTGGAGTAGTTCTCCTTGATTGGTGAGACACCATCCTTTCGATCCTGAAAAAGTCAATTATAGAAAAAAATGTTTGCCCAAGAAAAACAGTTTTTTGAAACCTATTTATAAAAGTGGATCACATAATGACATAAGAAATTATTGAGCAGTCTGTAATCAATCAGAATTACTCAAATTGTTAGACAGCCTAATAACAAAAAAGCTAACATGGGATTGTAGACATATAATTATTAACAACATGGATTCAGTCGTGGTAGATCTACCAGAACAAATCTGTTCATTTATCAACACTGTATAATAAATGCCTTCGAAAATAGACACCAGGTGGAGTCTATTTACACAGATTTTTCAAAGGCATTTGGCCGAATAAGCCACAATTTGTTGTTGCATAAACTAAACGCTTTGGGTATTCAAGAAAACATTCTGAAATGGATTGACAAGTATCTAGCCTGCAGAGTACAATTTGTAAAATATGAAATATGAAAATCAAAAAATATAGCAAATTCTCGCACCAACTATGGCCGGAATGAATCTGTAGGTAGAATTTTGAGACTTGCAAATACATACAATGTAGAATTAGAATTTTTATTTTTCTTTGGAAACATTTAAAAAGACTGTGAGAAGATTGTAATTCATCAACTTATTTTTAAGATTTTTATTTCATTTTATTTTATATATTTTTTCCTTAACCCAGCTTAGATTACTGTTAAATACATATGTGTAAACTTGTTAATTATTTTGTAAAAAATAGGCATTGCCGTAAATAAATAAATTAGGGTGTCTGGGGATCTCGGAAACCATAAGAGATTCAAATATGGTTACATTAGATAAAGTTGCATATTTTAAGGGTGATTATTTCGCAAATTCTTATAGATCCTGAATGAAATACCTAAATTTTGTCTATAGAATCCAACAACACTACTTTGCCTGAATTGAGCAAATTATTTTCATTGATTCAGAGGAAGTAACTGAAATATTTGCTGAATATTTCTCAAATGCAGCTGAAAATTCCATATCAAATCACTTCGGGCAAAACTTATCTCTACCCTGTACTGTTACTGAAAATATTACCATTATTGAACCGTTCCAATCTTATCCGGTTACGGAATATGAGATATCGAATATCCTATCAGAAATGAAAAACAAAAAAACGGCAGGCTTTGATGAACTATCAATTATAACAATTAAGAAAATATTACCATCTATTGTCGTTCCTTTAACATACTTAATGAATCAATCACTTATACAAGGATACTTTCCAGAAGTTCTGAAAAAATCACTCGTTATACCTGTATATAAAAAAGGAAACCCCACAGAAAGGGACAACTATAGGCAAATATCTTTGTTATGCTCGATATCNCACTGATCTTACATGTACTTAGCTAGAACTACTGAAAGTCATCGCTACAAAAATGAATGCAGCATTGCTCACATAGACACGACGATAAAATATTAGAAACTTACCTAAGAATTCATGAGCTGAAAACAATATATCTATCGACGGTGGTAGATCTTTATCCGCTACCTGTAGATTTTCACAGAGAGCCTCAGCTTTATCACGTTTGACCAGGGTCATTCTTCTACTGGCATACTGCCTATGCTCCTCCCTGATGAAAACCAAAATAAAACAGAGCTAAGAGGAATATTCTGACGTTTACCTCTGCAGTATGTAATGCAGCAAAATCCACGGAGTGACACAATCCAGCGGGATCTTAGCCACGCCTTCGGTATTCAACTGTTTCGAAACAATCTTCGCCAAAGTTTCCACCAGCCTGCCACGTTTCTTCTCCTCCAACAAATCTATAACGCCGACGGTTTCTTGTTTGATGATTTCGTGAAGGATAGCCAGACACTTCTCGATGATCTTCTCCCACTTGTCGTGGTCCTTGCTGACCTTTACGTACTGGTCAAAAGCCTCGTTCAGGCACTCCTCCGTCCACACGAAGCACTGCGACATGTCGGTGAACCACAGGGAGTGCATCAACAACCCCAGTTGAGCTGGACGCCCCATCCTTCCCACCTGCGGATGGACGCCAGAGTCGTTGAAGGTGACCTTGAGTATGTCGGCGACTTGGGTGTACTTTTCAGCGCTGAAGAGGCCTTCAACGGTGGCCAGGGATTTGATCGTGTCGAGGTGTTTGAGGATTTTCTGGGTGATCTCGTTGGTTATCAGGCCGTACTTCAGGCAATTCGGAAGGCTCAGCATGTACCTGAAATAATAAATCCGGAAACATCGGCCGTGAAAGCATACACACCATGTTTTGTATGTATTGGAAAATTGAAACAAATCTAAAATTTCATTATGAAACTAAAATTGAGAATCGTTTTAATGTCACTGGATAGATTCTCTGAGTTCAAAATGTGTTCAAAAGTCAGCTGAAAAAAATGCTACTTCAAAGGACTTGTTACACCATTCAAGAATTCACCAATCAACTAACCTGAGATCTTGAGCTTTAACACATTTTGTTAAAGTGTTTACTTTCGATACTTGAGAAATACTTGTGAAATTGTGTGTTTATTATATTTTATTGGTCTATAACTAGTTACATTTATGTTTTTATGTTACTTTCATTATTTATAAATGTTTATCACTGTTTGTGTTATTGTGTTGTTTATATTATTTTGACTGACTTATAATATGGTTACATATTATTTGGGCTGACTTTTATAATATGGTTAGATGTAGTTATTTACATTTGTATGTTTTTACATTTACTTTTATAATTGACATTTTCTTTGTTTATTATGCATTGATTTCAGTCAACTGTACTTTTCAACCAAAGAAATAAATATTACTATTATTACTTATTGTGTTGATAGTTTCCTACATAAATTTATCTCGTCTTTCTGAAAATAAAGTATTATTATTTTAGTTCAGCTGAAAATCAGAGTCCAAACACAATACATTTACCAATCAATACCAGACAGCGCTGTTTTCACCTGCCTACGTCTCATCAGTAGTACTCGGCTGAACCACAAATACATTGCTGAACTCAAATATCCTTCAAGGACTAAGTAGGTAAGGGTGATGACATCTCCAGAGAGAAATCAATCTTTGGATATCAAAAATAGTTAACTTTGAGTTTGATTATAACATATATATATGAAATCTAGAAAGGTTAATGCAGTCAACCTGCTGGAAAATAATTCCATGAAAATCAAAAAATAAATAGATTAGTACTCTTTGATCATTTCCATATTGATTTCAATTTAAGAGCCACCGGTATACAGCTGTTTCAGCCTATTGGGCATCGTCAGTACCGGGCAGGCGGTCCTCGATTGAAGACAAAATGAGAAAAAACCAAGAAAGTACTTGATAAAAATAGCTGCGTAAACGCAAGCGAAACATAAGTGGAACCACCTATTGGTGTGACACCCAAGTCAACTTGCCAAGTTTTTA